AAAACAGGCGGTAAACAAACGAAGCACTATCTGAAGAATACAAAAAAAGGTAGCGTTCGCGCATGCATAGTGCTTTTTAGCATCTCTCTCTAGCAGCTGAATGCGCAACCCAACAAATAAAACATATATGAAGACTGAACTTTGTCCTTTTTCCCTGCATTTCTCTTCTATCTGCCAGCGTGTTTGAGAGTTTAACCTCCTCGACAGGACCTAAAAATCTGCATACAAGGGGTGCATGCAGCCCGACCATACTAACATTTGCGATTGCTGTAAAACATATTCCAATTGGAGACTTGCAGTTTTAGTCCAGCATGTGCCCAATGAAATTTTCTACCTATGTTCTCGTCCATGCCTTTATTCTTTTAATAGGTGTGTTAAAATACAATCAATAAAATTGAGTAAGCATAGCTTGCTCCATAAAGAATAACGCATCTCAAGCTACTTGGTTATTATTATAAGGTACGAACAGCTCGCATTTCACAAGGACAGAGGTTGGGGTAGTGCGATAATGTGCATAATGTTTCTCCTCTGTGTTCTGGTGAGGTCCATACCGTTTGTGTCCAGTGTTATATGAAGTTCCTTCTTTGCACATATTATTGTCCCCATTGTTTAAGCAGAATACATCTCTCTTAGAATAATGTTTTACACTTACATACCGGCTCTAGGCCACTCAACATCCATCACACCTCGGTCTTCCCTGGCATGAATACATAAGAATGACTGCGTCTGGGAAGGCAGCATTGAGTACACACGTATACTTGGGATGTTCATGGCATGACATGTTTATGCATATGCCATCATAATAGCGTGCAATATGTCGAGCGAACAAAAGAGCCTGGTATTCATTAGGAAACCCCATTCCATAATGTCACTTTATTGATAAACACCAAAGTTCAAGTACAGTTGATTCTATGCAAATACTGAATGAAGGGCACAAAACATGGCATTTATTCAACATTTCATGAAAATGCAGGACTGCCTCAATCATACATGATAATTATGCAGTGTACACAATAAATGACATGAAATATGTGTTAATGGTGACTTGTTGCTATACGTGCACATCACAATGACAAGAGTAAAGAAAAGCGATGGCATTCGTGGTGCACTCACAACTATCGACAAGTGGACGCAATTTGTGCCAAACACCTTTATCAAGATTAACACTCCAAATGTGGAATTTAGCGAATGAAATGAAGTACACATATTGAACTTTTGAATGCACAGGAATAGGAAATAGACATGGAAAGCCCCTACTGGGGATATGCAAAACATATTATGCAGATATGTAGGCATGAAACAGGACATACACGTAAAAGACATAATAAAACAGATGTAATAGGCACAGCAAAACCACGGACCTAATCGTAGACTAGTGAGGGTAACAACAGCTCTATCTGAAGAGAAGAAGAGCGAAATTAGCTACTAAAATAGAGGCCAACCCAGATGTAGCTGGAATAAAAACACACGAGCTTATAATTGCCCTCAACAACAAGTGCAAAGCTGTAAAATCATGGGGCAACAATAGCTTCAGCCTCAAGACAACAAGAGGAAAATCAGCCACAGGCCAACCTAGCAGAAGTCAAAATAAAAATACTTGAGCTTAGAATTGCGTTTGGCAAGAAATGCAAAGCAAAGAGAGGAAAAACCAGAAAACAGACACAGAAGCAATGAACAAAACCATTACTACACTGACATCTGAAGCAGAAATTTAACGCGGTAAACGACCAAGGCAGAAAGTAAGCGAAATTTCTTCAGTGACGAGAAACATAATAAAAAACAGGGACACTTGACACAGAATATTAAAAATAGGCTTAGCTAAGTTAACAAAGCTTCTCATCAAGAACTCTAGTCATACAGAATTACAACATAAATGAGATCGAGACACCACCCAAGCTACTTAAAGGGAACTGCTCATAAAGGACCAAAATGTACACACTGAACAAACAGGGCAAACGTGTTAGAAATTTCAATGACATTATGATGGCAACTGAAAACATCTGCTCTGAACTGTACGGATCAAAGATAAGTAATTACTGTTGAAATGAAATCACAATAGGACAAAACACTGCAGTTCCTCATGTACGGTACTTGGGGATTCAAAAGCAACATAATTTTTTGGGGATAACTGGTATGCACACCTGCTCGAAATAACCACGTCATGTCTTGATAAATATAGTCTCTAAGAATAATTTCGGCTCTGATATACACGTTCTAGTCGAAAGTGCGCCAATATGACCCGAACTTAACGCAGTGTCAACAAAAGTATGTGCGTTACTGAGACCATAATTCCTGCATTTTAATCCGTGAGTACTGTACCTATAGACTAGGTTAAGAGGCCATACCACATATGCATCATAAAAAAACGGAAGGAAAACACAAAAGAAATGAGGCATACACACTATTTTACATTGGTTGTAGCAGCCTACTTTCTAATGCTACGACTACCAGTTTTTGCATCTTTAGCTTCATCAGCTGCCAAACGAATATTCTCTTGCCGCAGAAGAATGTTGATTCTGGTTTTAAAAAATGCTCTCCTGAATGCTGCCTGAATGTTGTGGCAAGGTGGAAAATAATTGACAGCTTGCACACTGTCATTAGTGGTGGCCACAAGTTGACCAATCGTAACTTCATTGCAGCAAGCACAGGACCGGGTTAACTGGCGGAACATGGGAGAGGCCTTTGTCCTGCAGTGGACGTAGTCAGGCCTGATGATGATGATGATGATGATGATGATGATGATGATGAACTTCATTGCACAGAAGCTTGTTGCTATTCACTCTAAACATATTCTCAGCTGTTTCGAGCAAATGAAGTACTGCTGGCCCTGGTGATACGAGCTTGCTGTCATCAGTGTAGGATTTCAACTTTGTGAGCACACTAGCTTCGTTCGACACTGGGGCAGTTTTGCACTGCTCACAAATCCCTGTGTGCTTTGCAACACTCTTTACCACAAACCCAGCAAGATAAATAAAAGACTCATGCTCCATCATGCTTATGTCGAGAAGATCACTGGGATATTCAACAGCTTCTGTATCATTGCTGTTAGGAGCTCTTGCGTGGCAATTTTCGATGCCAACTAGGGAAGGAGCATCGTCGACAGCATAGCTTCCACTTCTACTGGGCCGAAAGAACTGTGCCGAAGTAGCAGCTCGAATAGCACTACGAAATTGAAGAGCTTTTGGTACCGCATTCTTCGCCCTCAGAGTGGAGAACAAATTCGCAAGAGCATCTTGGGCAAATCGGCTGGGCAAAACAAAAAAAGAAGCCCTTCTCATTAAGATAATAATTCTGCTGTTCCAATGCAACTTTACACACCAAAATTATGCCCGTCTGCACATGCTTCCACACGTGTTTCGATGGAGAGCCAACTTCAGATCTGTAAAAAGAGTTACCATATAATTTAAAAAATCAGTGAGTCCTCATATTTCTGATCATTTAACTTGCTGACGCCAAGCTTCGTTGTACGTGATGTCAGTACTTTGAACCACCTATAAATGGTTTCTATGAACCATGCTGTTGCCAACGCTTCTTGGGGCAAATCTCCCCTTTGGACCAGGAAACGTAGTGCAGCTGCAGTATCGTGATTTAGCAACGAAAATGCAGGCCCCACTTTCATTTTCTCATAGTGTCCTGGGTCCAAGAAGGATGGTTTCAAGCGCGGTGCTATGTTTAATTGCAGTTCAGAGTCTATTTCTACCAGCTTCTGAATCGGCACAAGGTTAACCACATTCGAAGGCAGCTTGTGCATTTCTACCACATTTTCGGGAAGGAAAATCGATTGACCACGTGTGAGGTGGTTCCTCAAGTTCTTTAGCAAATGTGCGGTGTCTGCCATAAAATAAAGCTTGCGATTTTGGTCAACAGGTTGACAACAAGAAACTCTTGACACAGGATGCTTTCTCACAACTATGCCAAATTATCTCCAGAGCGCCATATTCCCACCAACCATGTCGCTAACGAGTGCATCTATACAAACCCCGATTGTTTCACATTCCTGAATAATTTCAATCAACTGTTCTTGAACTGCAGCACTGCTGAACGAGTTTCCAGTAAGATGATAAGCAACTGTCTGCTTCCATCTTTGTGTAACCCCACCCAGCATGCAAACAAGTCCATGCGTTGCCACTGCAGCATGTGGCAGAGAACCGTCGGCCAAAGGTAAAGTTGGCCTTCCAATAACAGTGCCAGTCGTTTGGTCAAACGCAAGCCCTGAGCTCAACTGAATTTCATCGAGCATCAGAACTGCATGCCTCTCATGCTCCTTCATGGTGGTTATCTGAAATATGCAACATGCATTAGGCAACAAAGGCTTTAATAAAGACATTTAAAATACAACACTTTTCAAGAATAAACAGGCAGTGCACAGTGCAAGCTGTATTTCGATGTTTGCATGCAAGAAGATTATCACGTATTGAAATTTATGTGGAATTGTGCCTAGTTAGAGGACCTGAAGTGATAAGTGAATGAAAGGTGAGAGTATGTTGTGGAAACTTTATGAATGACCGCTAAAACGTGCACGACAAAGAGCGCAGTGACAGGCACTAACACTGGCACTAGCAACACATGAAAGGTTAATAAATATTAGGGTTTATGTGCGAAAACCATGATATGGTCATGAGACATGCCATAGTGGAAGGCTCTGGAAAAGGTTTCACCTTTTGCTCAAGGTGTACTGCTGAAAGAGATGCTCACGAGAATAAATGTAACAAATATATTCAGCTACACCATCCTTTCACCTTTAAAGCAAGGGACTTCAGAACCTCATGTAGAATTCCTGGTAAGAACTTGTAGTTTTCAACACGACGTTGTAAAGTTCTTTCACTCGGAAGGGGTACAGCAAGCTCCCTGACCGCATTTTAGCCTCTGGATCCGCATGCCAAACGGAGCTTGAGGCCTTTCTGTATAGTCTCTGTAGACCATTGCTTCCCTCAGATACTGAAAGTCCACATGCCTTGCAGTTGATCTGGTGACAGGTACTTCTTGATGTTTCGCGTGAGTTAATGGTTTCTTCGGTTCGCTCTGCTTTTCTGTTGTTGCAGTGTAGCAACTTTCCGCTTCATGTTGTTCAAGCACTCTTTCAATGTAGCTATTTTTTTGTGAAGGGCAGCTACTACTGCTTGATCAGCATCCCAACTACTTGAACTGGAGCCTGCAAAGCACAGATTGAGCAGGAAGTGACAAGAGTTTGAAAATTTCACTATTTAACCCAGACTAGCATGTGAGGGAGAACCATAAGGATTTAAAGAAACAAAAAAATCAGTGCCACTCTATATTATTCAGCAGAAAAGTGTAAGCGTAACTTTTTGAGAACACAACAGTGGTTTTAACAAAGAGCATAAGCTGACACTGTTGCTCAATGAAGAGGGACCGATGGAGCTGCGCAGAACCCGCAATGCATGCAGCTGAACTATTTTTTTTGGTGGGGGCGTGTCCTTGATACGAAATAGGGGCAGAACAGTCGAGTGTGGTCACGTCTCACTTTGTACTCTGTATGTAAAGGCAGAAAGACATTTTGGGAGCAGCAAGTGTCCGGTGTACCACCTCCTAGCTATGCCAATAGTTAGTAATGAGTAAAGACATGAATATATGGCACGTACTCTCGGTTATGACGTAGGGTTATCAATGGCGGTGGCTATTTCAAACAAAGTGGGGAGAGTGCCATGGTTCCACTGTTGTAGGGTTTTTTGACAGAGTTGCTACAAGACGGCAGCTGATTGCGTGTCACAAGTGATAGTGTGATTATGTTGCGCAGTGTGTAGCAGTGTGCTATGCATTACTGTACACAAAATACAGCTTACATGTTCCTCCAATAAACTTACGTTGTGTGCGACTACTCTCGCTTTACAAGAATGAGCATACCAGCAAAAGAAACAAAACAGGGCACCAGTACTTGGAGCGCATCCGCACTATTAAATGCACCAATATATCAATCTGTTATTAGCGTGCACGTAATTTCCTGTAGGTGGCGATGTGTCACACTCAAGTGTATATTGCATAGTGTGTGAGAACAGTAGCACTGAACACCGGTGACATCAGCTGTGCCCTCAGCAGACAGAAATCCTCCACAGGCAGCACAAAAGTTCTGCTGAGCTGTAAATGACGGATAATCTTATTAGTAGTACTGAGGACCGGTACAGTCACCAAAGCTTTAAATTAGCACAGTTGCAGCACAGGCAATGAGGCATGGCCATTGACTAAAATTTAAAAATGTATATGATACTGAACAGAAATTTCACTCACACTCAACAGGCACCGTCAAAGCTTGAAATGGCTGGCAGCTCGATTCATGGGTGGTTTCCACACCTGCGCACATATGATAGTTGGAACCAACAAAACCATCTGGCAGAAGCATGCCTATACAAATCATGAAAAGTAGCACTCACCTGCTGAACAAGCTGTTGAACAAGCTGGCAGTGCGTCACATTCGGAACTTGAAGGTGCATCTGCAACATGAGATCAACAATAAATTAAGTGAAATTTCAAAGCAACATGTCACTGCCATTACCTTCTGGAAAATCCGATGGTGCTGAATCAGTGGCAGTGTGACCTAAAAAACATAAAGACAAATTGAAGAAGACCATCAACTCTGTTACATCGCATTTTGGCAAACAAGCATCAACATTACTTGAAGCATTTACAATACGCACAGGTGCATTACAATTTTTCAGTAATAAGAATGCAGCCAAAACCCAAGCGACAATGCTTTCAACGCTTGCAATGTGCTGAACACCGTACTGCGGAGCAAAATTTTGTGGATCTGCAGCACACCCCTACAGACATGATTGTAAAATATATAAACCAATGGATACAAGTTACAAGCCGTTGCAATGCTTCGACTACATGCAGCACATGTGTAAGCTACGTTACCTTGTGAAGAACCTAACCCTGCTTGAGTGGCATCACTGTTGGCTCCATGGCCTGCAAATTATAAAACATCAATGAAGGCATAAAGCACGTTTGTAATTACGGTCAGTAATAAATGCAGTAAGAACTCACCATCAACAGCAGCTGGTGTCAGAAGCAGATTCGTAGCTGATGGGCAGTGTGTCTCTTTGGCTTCTGCATAATCCAAACATGTATTAATGATAACGAAGACGGAAAAGGCGTGAGATGTGCTTAACCGTCCACTCACCATCAACAAGAGCAGCTGCTGTTAGTAGTAGATTAAGGCCACACGATGAGCGGGCTGAATCATTGCATTCTGGAGAGTGAAAAAAATGCATTAACTATACTAAAGAAAAGCCATTAGCTCTACACAAACAGTGCACCATACCTATATGCAAGACGACATGTTTCGGGTTAGTGAAAGGCTGAGAAGTAATTATGGGTGATGCAGAAAACAATGAAGACGGACTAAACATTCTCCAGTTTTTTAATGCGATTGGCTTACCTGACGTTTGCAAATGCTCTTGACTGAAGATCGTAGGCGCCGCGTCTCTCTTCAACTCTTTAGTACCAAACTTGCGCAGCAGTATCGGCTCGAATTGGTCCGCAGTGAAGTTGTCCTAGGTAAGGAAATATTCGCGGCTACTGTTACACAATGAAACAGCACGCTCTAAAAGAAACTAAAATAACCTTTAGTGTCAACACGTACATGACTACGCACTGTTTGCCACATTTTCTTCCCACCAGACTAGCACACGGTGCGTACAGTATGTAGAAATACGAACCATTTAGCCTTGCGTGTCCTTATTTCAACTACAGAGCTTCTGAATACTGAGCGCGCTGGAGCACATGCCTAAACGAAATGATTCGACATTCAGGTCACTGCCCACGCCTTTATACATAAAGTCCTTACACCCATACACACATACACGCGGGAGTCATTTAACTATACGTCGGCCAATAAACAAAGTTTAGTTTAGCACTTGAATGTCTCCATTACATTTACTTTGTAACATAGTCGACGATTATTTCTGGATCAAACGAGTAATAATAATAATATCTGGCGTTTAACGTTCCAAAACCACAATTTGATTATGAGGGACGCCCTTTTGGAGGGCTACGGAAATTTTGACCACCTGGTATTCAATAACGTGCATATAATGCTAAGTACACAGGCCCCAACATTTCCGCCTCAATTGAAAATGCAGCCGCCGCGGTCGGCATGGATCAAGCCAGAGACGCAACGTTTACACGGCACTAAACGCGGCACGCGTTTCAACTGGCATGCACGTTTACCATCGACGCGGTTACTCTCTTTGTGTGATGCTGGAGCTTGACAGTGCCGTAACACGGTAAACACGAATACAAGCGAAACGATAGAGTTTAGCTCGCCGGTACTCACCTCACAAAGCCGCGACGATACAGGGTCCAAGTCACTCCTTCCGATACGCTGGAGCCACACTTCTTGCCGAGCGGCATTGTCTTTTCCTCGCGGAAGCGAAAATAGCTTCTTTCCTCTGCTGTACCTGCTTTTGCAACCGCTGGCACAGCAGGTCGGCATCCCGAAACGTGCAGGATTACCATGCACACACTCACGCGCGGTCGAACTCTGGCTACACAACAATACCAAGCGCGCACGCCTAGCCACAAACAAACACCGCGAAAGTGGACAAACAAAATGGCGTTTGCGATACCTTCACAAAGGCTAGTGCGTCATGCTGCAGATTCTTAGCACCGCTGAGTTTATTACACGAACAGCAGTGGCCCTGCCATCGAGAGCGTCACCGCTAAGCGCGTCTGCATGCAAACGGTGGGCGATCGCGTTGAGTATTGCGTGCTTGCAGTGATGTCTTTTGTCACTGCATGCCACTTGCTTATATACACGTCACATTGTCGTATTTAACGTTACCTTTTATATTTTTTTACTTTCTCAATCACTCTTTCGGTGCATCGCCTAGAACCGCAGCGCCCAGATGCGCTTTAACGGAAACATGAGCACAAGCTCACCTTTGCGGCCTGGAGCCATACAGCCCCTCAACTAGCGTCGTTTACTATCTGCAATGCACGCGAGGGGAGAGGAGTCTGCACACTGACACGAATGGCGCTACTTTAGTTTACTTTTCAGGGACTTTAGCCCAATGCAAGCCCGTTGCGCCATCTGGCCACTGAAAGTGAAAACGCGCTAAAGTTCAGAAGCTCTGACGACTGCCAAACGGTGTATGGTGTATACAAATGGCCTGCCTTGAGCACTGCACATAACGTACGCGCCGTGACGTAGAGAATAGCGTTGCGCGTCTTAGAACCGATTCCGCCCAACAAATGCTGTTTGATTCCTTACGATGAATGCTTGCTTCCGCTACTTTTTTCAATGTCATAATGCTATATATTTTTCAACGTTACTTCCATGATCGAAGTACGTCAGCGGAGCCGAAGTGGGCCCCGGCATAAAACACTATTTGGTTAAAAATTATCGGGTCATGCCCATAAGCGAGACGCAAATACCTATCAATTCGGCACGCGTGGAGGTCTACGTTAGAGCTTGAGAGGTCAAGGTATGTACATGCATCCGCTGCCACCATTCTCAGTATGCCAGGGTCTTAAACATTAAGGCGTTTATTCTTTCCGGGGCCTGTACCAAACCGCGCAGTGACCGACTTCTGCGTGCATTTAAAATCTTGGCAATATGGATAAATAATTAACAAGGGGAGCCTCCAGTTAGCAATCCCCTATGATCCAATAATATTTGTTTATTATAGCGACCCACCTGTCCTGCGTAGAAGTTGCCGCAGCTAAACGGCATTCTACATATCCCACCGGTAAGCCAATGAGTAGATTTGTTTGTATAAGTTTTCAAACGTAAGTTTGCTTCTCCTCTATCACCCACTCATATTTTCTCGGCACAGTGGTGTATATTGTGGGAATTAAGGCTAGCCCACCGCCTCTTTTTCCGTTCTCATGTCCCGACAAGACTCCCCTCCTCCATGGCCTGCCGCGCTAGGAGAGCGGAAGGGGACGTTCAAACCATCTCACCCGATAGCAGATGTCGACCGCGGCGCCGCGCGCAGGGTCTTCCGAGAGGTTTCGCGCGCACGCGTCGGGGAGTTAGAGAGAGACTTCTCCGGGGATGAGAGGTCTCTAATTAAGCACGCATCATTGGGGTAAGCACGCATTCGACAGCTCTCTTTGTTTGGGGCTCGTTCGGACTTCGCCAACAGCGCCTTGCGCCTGCGGCGAACGCTTAATTTATGTCGCCCCCTTCTGAAAGCTAGGTCAAAGAGCGATGCAGTGTCCTAGTAAGTTGCCAGACTACGCCGACCCGCATCTCTCCGAAGCCAACGCGAGCGCCTTTGCCCTCGCTCGAGCAACCGGGCCTTTGTCCCGGTGTTACCGTGAATCACTTTTACCATAGAGACGTTCTGCGAGCACCCCTGTGTAGTATTTCTCGCCCGTGGCGTGAATAAGCTCGTTGCTTTCCCGCAGCGCCTTTGCAACGGGCTCTGTACTGAGTTTTTGGTTCTTCCGCAGACAATAAAGTGTTGCGGCCTTGAGCAGTATCGTGTTCTCGCCACGGCGATGGTTAACGCGTGCCCTGCGGCTCGGTGAGACCGAACGCACGCTAGTGACCGTAATCCTTCGGGATACGAGTACACTACATTGGCGCCCAACGTGGTATCAAAAGCTCCAAGATTTTGACTGCTCTTAGCGAGTCAGTTCGCCTGCGCGATTTGGGCTCGTAGCAACATGCCTGCTTCGTGGCATGCCGCGTTCGACGGCCACCCTTCGGCGGTCACCCTTTGGCACACGTCCATGTCGTCACGCCCTTTTTTTAGTGAACACAGAACCAACGTGGTAGCTGACGCGCTATCGCCTGCCCCCTGTTGTCTTCCGAGAACCTGGATTTTGATGCGACGGTCACTCACGGTGCATTAACGCATGCAAGTGCCGGGGGCGAAACAGCGAAGAAAAGGAGGAGTCTCCATGAGGACGACCTTGGCTGCTATCCAGGTAGGAGGCGCTACGAGCGCGCCACGAGAGTGGACGCGCGTCACATCGGCTCCCCCTCTATTCGTGAGGACCGGTAAAACCCTGCTTCACACTTCGTCAAGATTGCTCTTATCTTCTTCGTAACAATGTTCTGCACTATGAGACACCTCTTTGATTCACGTGGGCCAATGTCGGGGCATTTTATGTCCACTTGTTGACCTGACCTCGCGGGAGCTATGCTCGCCTGACCGAGCGTTGCACCGAACGCTGACGGCGTCGGAACTTCTCCGCTGCCACAGCCACAGATGGCGGCCACCGCTCTCCGTGGATATAATCCCACAACGTTGGCGTGGAAAGAAATGTCTACCCCAGTACCCGAAAACTGCGTTCCACCAACGTATATTGTAGAAAAGGGACTGTTCACCGTGGTGGCCCTTCGCAATCGTCGCCAGCAATCTAAAGCTACCAAGGGCTCGGCTGCCAATAAGGCCGCGTCCACGAACATACCACCCGAGAAGACATCCCGAGTATCGTGGCGGCCTACCGCTATGCGCCGCTATGCTGCAGAAGACTTCACCATCGTGCTGAATCCTCGTGTCACAGTAGATCTAAAAGATACTTTTTAACCAGGTGAACTAGGCGCCAAGCTTACCTCATACGTGAATGCTACTTCGAGTGACTCTATCAGTGTGTGGCCCATGTGGGAGGAAAATATCATTGTTGGCGCAACCAAAGACATCAACTCTGCGAACCTTCTCTCTCAAAAATTCTCACTCGAAACATCACAAGGTCCCCTACCAATGATCGGCCACACCAAGATCAGTGGGGAAGTGTGCCGCGGCGTCATTAAGGTGCACGAGCAGGAGACCTCCGCCTTTTTGAAAGAAAAGATCCATTGGCGTGGTGGAAGCATCGCTTTGATCAGAAAGCTTGGCAAGACTTCGGTGGCCCTTATAACTTTCGAGGGCCGCCACGTGCCACGTTTCGTGCACTAAAAACAGCGTTGTGACACCATTAAGCGAATATAAACGGACCATTCCAGCCTGCTACCACTGTGGCGCGGTGGGCCACCGGGTGGAGCTGTGTAACCACCCGAACGACCAACGCTGCGGCCATTGTGGTCAAGTTGTGGATGCTTCTGAGGAAGCACCCACAACTGCCTTCTCCTCCTCCGTTTGCTCTTCCTTCCGCAGCTGCCACAGCTGCCTCCTCCTCCTCCTTTTCATTTCATTTCATTTCATTTATTGCATCCTTAAAGGCCCAAGGGCATTACATAAGGGGGGGGGGCAAAAAATACGCTGTGAGTGTGTATAATTCAAGTTAACAAAAATATTATAAACAGTACAGTTCTAATATGATAGTTTGGTCAAAAATGACAACAAAAATGAATCAAATAACACACAAAAGAAACGCTTTGGCTGGGAATTAGAGTACAAACAACTAGGCACAGCAAATTATACATACAGTACGTTGGTAGAATATATTTACAGCCACGGGTTAATGGGTGGAATCAAAGTGGGATTCCAATTTTGCGCGGAATGATGTGTGGTCAGGTGTGGCAACAATGGTGTCGGGAAGGCGATTCCAAAGTGTTATTGCTTGGGGGAAAAAGGAGTCGTTCATTGCGGATGTACGGCCGTTGATTCGTGCAATGGGGTTTGAATGGTTAATGCGGGAAGAAGTTCTGTTTGGGGGCTGTAAAAGTTCGTGTCTTGATTGGGGTCGGAAAAAGAAACTGTGGAGGAGGCATAGGCGCGAGATGAGGCGGCGCTACGCGAGTGATGGCAGTTCAATTGATTGTTTTAGGGCGGTAACGCTGATTTCTCTGGAGAACTGTGAGGTTATAAAGCGGGCAGCGCTGTTTTGAACTGCTTCTAGTTCGCTAACGAGGTATGCCTGGGATGGATTCCAAATGGACGATGCGTATTCGAGCTTTGGCCGTACGTATGTTAAGTATGCTAGTTTTTTAACGTCAGGAGATGCTGATTTGAGGTTACGGCGCAGAAAACCAAGCGTACGCAGAGCGTCTGAGCAGATGGACTGTACGTCCGGTGCAAATGAAAGAGATGGGTACATGTGCACTCCGAGATACTTGTATGACGAAGCCGAATCGAAAGGAAGCGAATTGATAAAGTAGGTATGATGAACAGTGGTGCATTTACGGGAAAATGACATCGATTTGCATTTGGTTAGATTTAACGGCATTGATGAGCCTTGGCACCATAGCGCAACAGTGTCGAGGTCTTGCTGTAGTTTAGTACTGTTTTCAAAGTTGTGAATGGGGGAGTATATGACACAATCATCTGCAAATAGTCGAAGTTTTGTTTGAATGTTTGTTGGCAGGTCGTTTATGAATATTAAAAATAGAAGAGGTGATAAGCCCGCACCTTGAGGGACGCCTGATGATACGTGAGTTTTAGAGGAGTTATGATTATTAGCAGAGGTGAATTGTTTACGGTTGGAGAGGAAGTTCTGTGCATTGCCAAGGGAATTAATTTTGCTAAGTAATAAGTTGTGTGGTACGCGATCAAAAGCTTTGGAAAAGTCTGGGAATATGGCATCAATCTGCAGGTTATCATCCATGCTTTTTAGTAGGTCGTGGGTTAACTCGGCTAATTAGGTCTCGCATGAGAAGTGCCTTCGAAAACCGTGCTGGTGATTATAGAAGAAATTTATTGATTCAAGGTGAGTCGCGATGTGAGAAGATATAATGTGTTCTAGTAATTTAGAGGGAATGATTGTCAGGGAAATAGGGCGGTAGTTTGCTGGATTCGTTCGCTCTCCTGTTTTGAAGACGGCTACTATTCGGCCTATTATCCAATCGTCTGGAATTTCGCTTGTTTCAAGGCACTGCATGAAGATGAGGCAAAGAATCTGACTAACCGCTGTGATGGTGTTAACTCAAAGTTTGGGGGTTTTTTGGTCAGAACCTGGCGCTGAAGATATCTCAAGACCGGTGATTAGTTTAACGATTCCTTCAGGGTTAAATGCTATTTCGGGGGATACAGCGCCGGGGGAACGGGTAGGTATTCGTGTTGACTGTGTAATGTTAGGGGTAGAAAATACTGATGAAAAGTAATCATTTAAAGCGGAGGCAACGTGTTTTGCGTCTATTGGTTCCCCGTCTGGGTCTAGAAGATCTATGTTGGTACTTTGATTTTTGTGAGAGAGCATGCGCCAGAATTTAGTGGGATTTGAGCGGAGGATAGATAGTAGGTCACATGAAAAATATTTATCTTTGGCTTTTTGTAGTTCGGTAAGATACTTTTTGGCACACAGGTGATATTTTTGTCATGTTAAAGGGTTATAGCATTGACTGGCGGTCCTATAAAGACGTTTCTTTTATTTAAAAGACTTTTCAGTTGTTTGTTGAACCAATGATTTGTGGAATCTGATTTTACGCGAATGGTTGGAATATACTGTTTTTCTAAGTTAGGTATCGTGTTTTTGAATATCTGCCAGTTGGCGTTAACTGAGTGGGTTTGATATGATCCGCGAAAGCTGTCAAGAAAAGAACCAAGTTTGTCGTTGATAGCGTCATAAGTTCCTCGTTTGTAATCAGTTATGAATTTTTCAGTCGGCGACCTTCTGATTAGAGGTAGAGATATGCAGTTGTGGATAAGGTTATGGTCGCTAAACCCGGGGAGTACTATTGTGCGCTCTATGTCATCCGGGCTTGATGTTAGAAGAAGATCTAAAGTATTATCACCTCTTGTGGGGCATGTTATAGCTTGGTGTAGGTTAAAATCTAGCGTCAGATCAAGGAATTGCTTTGATTCGTTGGACGGGGATGCACTAGGGGCTGAGAGTAAAGGCCAGTTTATTTGAGGGAAATTAAAATCACCGAAATGAAAAATAGGGGCGTCTGAGAACTTGTCTTTAATCCGGGTGAGTGAATTTGAAAGGAGGATGGAAAAGCCAGGTTCCGAATCAGGCGGCCGGTAACAGATGCCAAAAATCGCCTTTTGGGCAACGTTTGACACTCGCACCCAGGTTAGTTCTAATGTGTCGTCATGAGTGATAAGAGAAGATGTTAGATTGTTTTTAATAGCTATTAGCACGCCTCCACCCCGGCGATTAGTGCGATCATGGCGATATAAAGTGTAGTCCATGTTAGATGGGAAGATTTCGTTCTCGAGTACGCCTTCGTGTAACCATGTTTCTGCTAGCACGACAATGTCGGCTTCTACATCTTGGATAAAACTGTAGTCTGTCTAGTTTAGGCAGTATGCTTCGTATATTAGTGAAGGCAACATTTAGATTTAGCGTTGATGATCGGCTTGGTCGAGGGTTAGAGGTACAGTAGACAGAGGGGCGTCATTCGGTGGTTTTGCTGCTCATACCTAATGACTCACCAGCTATGGCAGGCACAGTCTGTTTTTTGCTCATTTCTACAATTTTGTCGGAAGTCTGGTCATACATGTAGCACTTTTTGTCCACGTGAAGTCTGTCGAGACTCAGTTTAAATGCGCATTTTCGGGGGCGAATGAACTGCAACAGCTTTGACCGCGCAATGCGGGTGGCAGCTGCGCAGTCCTCCCTAATGGCGAAGTCTGTGTCTTTAAGCATGCGACCGCAGTTCAGAATGCGTTCCTTCGTTTTGTAGTGGGCTAGTATAACAATGATGGGTCGAGTTTTGTTTTCTGAAAAGGTCCCGATTCGGTGTGCGCGTTCCATCGCACCCTGTTCCAGAGTAAGTTTAAGCTTGTCGGCACAATACGTGAATATCTTTTGCTCCGACTCTTCTCATGTTTCCTTTATGTTGTCTTTTATGCCAAGGAAGAGAAGGTTGTTCCGTCGTAGGCGGTTGCTGGCGTCAATAGTTGTGGCTTTGAGCACAGAAATTTCGTGGCTTATCTGAGATGAATCGTTGTTATCGCTAGGGTTGCTGGTTTGGGGCTTTATTTTTTCTAGGATTTCGAGTCGGTTGCTAATTGAGGAAATTTGTTTTTCCTGGGTTGCTTGGGCAGTTTTAAGGCCGTCTATCTCTAATCGAATCGTTTTTAGATTGTCCTCGACGCGTTTGATAGAATCCAAGATTGCGGCTATATCACTGCTTTTTGTTGGGCCGGGATTCAGTTCCACGTCGCCAGAAAGCAGCAGTATTAATTGAGAACATAAACCAAAAGCAATCGCGTCAACGCACAAGTCCAATATACTGCGCAATTTAAAGTCGTTGGGGCACGACACAGCAATAAGGAAGCGATTACTGCTTCTACACGATTTACAAGTTGTTTAGATAACTAACCTGCAAAGTCAGAAGCGGGTCGATCATGGTGTGGCTTGCGGTGTCGTGCCCCAAACTGACGGCATCGGCAGAGTGGTTTTGTAGCGGTGACACCGGCCATGTGACCGGTGATGTCATCGATGGGCTTGGTTGCCAGCTGTTCCATCTTGCTCTTCCTTCCGCACCTCCTCCCTCGAATTCTTCGAGCTCAAACAAGAGCTTGCTGCGCTGCGGGCACAGAACGCGCAGCTTCAATCCAAAATTGCCGCCTTGGAGACAGGTAGTCTGCTAGTCCTGGCAGCGTCACTCCCCACCAATAATACCATTCCCGCTCCAGAACCGATGCCCATGTGTACCATTCCTTCTGTCTCGAAGCCTTCTAACTTTGAAGAGCGATTTCAAGCTATTGAAAGTAATATGAGCGCTTTAATGGCACAACTCACCGCCTTAAGAAAAGTCTGGAAACTCTTTTGAACACTGTTACCCAACAGGTGACGAGTAACAATAAAACTTGGCTTCATGACTTAAAACCTCGAAGCCAAAGGGGTAATCCTCTGAAGGACGTTAATCATCCCTATAAGTTTTAACACGCCATCAGGGTCGCGGAAACCTCCGAGGACTCCGAGCTTTCACTTGCACAGGGCGGCGAAGTAGGAGTAGAGTCCCTCCCAGCCATCCCGAATTCTCAATATGGCAACTCATATTAATTGCTGCACATCGCCACACCGAAAACCTCGTTACTCTCTTTAACTCAATGGAACTGTAGAGGCTTCAAAGATAGGGCCAAACGGGCCCATTTCCACATCTATCTTGAAACATTTGAGCACCTGTGCGCCGTCATTGCCCTTCAAAAGCCCGGCAATGCAGTGCGCCTCTTAGGTTATAACACTTTTCAACGGGACCCATTGATTGATTGATTGATATGTGTGGTTTAACGTCCCAAAACCAGCATATGATTATGAGAGACGCCGTAGTGGAGGCTCCGGAAATTTCGACCACCTGGGGTTCTTTAACGTGCACCCAAATCTGAGCACACGGGCCTACAACATTTCCGCCTTCATCTAAAATGCAGCCGCCGCAGCTGGGATTTGAACCCGCGCCCTGCAGGTCAGCAGCCGAGTACCTTAGCCACTAGACCAATGCAGCGGGGCAACGGGACCCATGGACCTGCCTTCTTGTAGATAAAAGCTCAACTACGCAAGAGGTCGACCTCGAAATTTCAACACTGTACTCGTACACTATGGTCACGGTTTTTCCCCTGCGCAGAACCAACCCCCCACTGCACATCCTCAGTATTTATTGCAAACCTAAACTCAAAAACATCACACTCACTGACATCTTCAGCAGGGCACTGAAGCTCACCGGGCATGACCTCCAATTAATAGTGGGTGACTTGAACGCAGGCTTTGGGGCTATCGAAAGAAAGAGGTGCGTGGAAGGAAACTTGTGGAGCTAACTTCCACGCTGGGCACGACTCTTGAAACAGACCCCGCACAACGAACTCGTGTAAATAACTCTGTCAGCCGGGACACCTGACCCTACCTAACATTCACAAAAAACATCAGACACGCAGACTGGTTCAATACCAAGGAAACCCTCTGTAGTGACGACGGCATTCTCAACACTACATTTTCTACACGACTCCTACAACGCCCCATCACACAGGCTCACCTACCAAACTGGAAAGCCTTCCGGCAGTCCTTCCTTGACTCTGCCATCCTGTAGATCGGTTATTCCCAGTGGGCTCGCTGTGTGCTCGAAACACTAAAAAAACAGAAGACCAAAATACAACTCACGAATAGTCATCCGGATGTAGATACCCATCTCCTTAATTTTTGGGAGGCCCGTCACATCCTCACAAAGAGATGGCACTGACAAAAACGCAACCGCAAGCTCCGCATGCGGATACTGGATCTCACCCAGAAGGGGGCCGAGTACGTTGCCCAGCTCGCCAACTCAAATTGGGTAGATCGCTGTAACACGGCCAGCTGGCAAATATCCAGTCACAGTACATGGAAACTCTTCCGCAGTCTGATAGATCCCACTCAAACGCGACGTGAAATGCAAAAACAACTGCACCGAGCCTTTTACAATTTTCACGACTCCACAACACAACTAGCCTTATCATTACGGGACCGACATCTTTGCATTCAGCAGGACACGCGAGGCTCCGCTTATCACGATGCAGGCAGAGAGAACTCGGCACTCGATGCTCCTTTCCAGTTACACGACCTTCGCGCCCCCTAGCCAAAATGGGGTGAGGTACAGCTTCCGGACGAGACAAAAGTACCGTTAAAATGCTTGGTAATCTACCCGATGCAGCGCACCATTCGCTTCTTGACTATAATAATGCGATCTGATTCGGAAAACCGCCCCTCCCACTATACTGGAAAATGTCTCTAGTAACCTTTATTCCAAAACCAGGAAAACCGATCTAGACTGAGAATCTCAGACTTATTTCTCTTACTAAGCGGGGAAGCTACTAGAAACTATGGTCGGGGATCGTGTCTCTCCATTCTTGGAAGAGCGCCACATTTTCGCCAAATTTATGTATGGCTTGAGGCCCAAGACATCTTCGCAGGAGATACTCCTACAACTACACCATGAAGTACTTAATCCCGTAAAACACCCGACGATGACAAGATCATTCTAGCGCTCCACCTTAAAGGAGCCTTCGATAACGTCAAGCACGAAGTCATCTTAGCTCACCTAAGTGCCACCAACTGTGACGAGCGCATCTTCAACTACATCCGAAACTTTCTTACTGACAGAGCTGCGTACATTCGCATCCAAGATCAGGAATACGGCCCCTATCACCTCGGCAAGCCAGGCACACCACACGGCGCTGTGCTCTGTGCCTCAGCTGTTCAACTTAGCTATGGCACAGCTCCCGGCCCACTTGGCTGCTGCTGACGGGCTAAAGCGTGTGGTTTATGCCGACGACATCACTCCGTGGGCCACAAAGGGATGCTTGGGCAGCATGAAGGGCATTCTACAAACCGCAGCCCATATAGCGGACGAATATGCGGCATACTGTGGCCTCCAGTGTTCCCCACAGAAGTCTGAATTCGAGCACCTTCGGCCGTCGGTGAAGTGCACTTCGTCCATGAACCTTTCTCTGCATAGTAGACCTATTAATGAGGCACAGGACATCCGTGTGCTTGGACTCCACATTCACAAACACCGCATGGTCGAGACAACACTTCACAAACTGCGTAAGTTTGGAGAACAGGTGGGCTGCATGGTCTGCCGAGGCTTCAACAAGCGGGGAGGTCTCAAAAGCAAGGATGCGCTTCGTCTCGGATATGCTTTTGTCGCTAGTAGCACAACAGAAGCACGATGAAGATTCCTTGAAGGTCACCCTTCGCAAAATTGTCAAGAGAGCCCTAGATCGCCCGATCACTACTTCCAATGCAAAACCTCTTTCGTTCGGAGTGGTAAACACCTCTCCGGAGCTCCGGGAGGTTCACCTAACAAATGAATACACGCGTCTGGCGCAGACCCCATTAGGCAGACAACTCCTAGATCGCCTACACATTCGGCATGACTTCCACACAAAAGAGCGGGTACGAGTGCTCGAGCATTGGAAATACGCGATTCCTCCCCACCAATATGTCACGTGAGTCGCACGCTGGACGTCGAGAGGCGCAGGATCTTGCTCTCCAGCGCCAATTCGGCTCTAAACAAAACGTATCTTACACAGACATCACCGGCCTTTACCGCGGGGGTTGGTATATGGCCGCCGTGGTCCACCAAGACAGGTGGGTGGATGGTCTGTCCTTCCGCGCAACCAACGCTACCCATGCTGAAGAGGTGGCCATAGTTGTGGCTATATCACACGATAGTTCTCAAATTATATTATCAGACTCAAAAGGAGCTTGTCGATATTTCAACTGGGATGGATCACACCCCTAGCTGCCAAAATTCTAAAATCTTGTCCGCGAGTATGTTATCCCTCTCCGCGTTCAATAATCTCCACACTTGGCCATCAGGGCCTCGCAGACAATGAGGTGGCGCACGCTGCCACCCGCGTACTCAATGCCCGGGCCACTGCCTCACCCCCCGATGACCCCTGTGTTCCAGAAGAAAACTCTCCTCTCCTAACTCATAGAGAGATACTTACCCATTACCGCACTGCTGTTCTTTTCACCGTTATAGAAAATTGCCCCTATGATGTAATTCTAGGTATAAATTTTGTAACCGCTTGCTTGGCCTTAATAAATTGTTCAGCAGGCTGTCTTGACCTTGAGATGCCTCTACTTTCCGATACGACAAAGCGACCCCAAAGCCGTCCTTTCTGCATTGATTTCGTACGCCTTCCACCTAACTGTGTTACATACATCGACCTCTTCTCTGCGTCACCTGTACCTGACGGCGATTACATGGTGGCACCAACTCATGCCGTGATGCTTACGCATGACTTCGCTGCTCCGCAGACTATTTTGAAAATTGCTGAAAAACCACACATGCCTTCCTATTGTATATTTTGCCCTCACTGCCCAAATTCTTCCCCAAGGCCGAAATTACTGCCCTACAACACCATAGGGTTGAGCCCTTCAGAGTGGATGATTGCTGCGCTTCAGAACATGACCCAACCCTATCACCTTCATCTGGCGTCGACGTTGCCCACATAGTGCCATCAGACCTCCCTCCTGATCAAGTGCAAGATTCTCCGTCACGTCATTGAGTCTTATAGTGACATTTTCGACTTCGCCAGCACGGCCTTCAGCCGAATGAGTGTTGTTACTATTCGAATCAATACTGGTGACGCGAGTCCCATTCACCACCGTCCATATCGTATTTCAGCATCCTAGCGTACAGTCATACAACAGGAAGTCGAAAAGATGCTTGCAAACGATATAATTGAGCCCTCGTGTAGCCCCTGGGCGTCTGTTGTCATTCTGATCAGAAAGAAGGATGGAACATGGCGCTTTTGTGTAGATAATCGGCATCTCAAGAAAATAACGAAGAAAGATGTTTATCCATCGCCTAGAATCGACGATGCCTTAGACTGCCTTTACGGTGCTACGTATTTTTAAACTATCGACCTTCGATCTGGCTATTGGCAGGTCGCTGTAGACGAGATAGACCATGAGAAGATCGCATTCGTCACTCCTGACTGTCTTTATCACTTCAAAGTCATGCCCTTCGGTCTCTGTAATGTGC